AAAAAAAAATAATTATATCGATCCTTATAATAAAACTAAATTTAAAAAAAAATTCAAAAATATAAATACAATATAACTTATTTTATAATAATATAAAATTAATTCAGTAATACACCATAAAATAATCATTTTAATGCATTTTTTCATAGATTTTAAATAATATAAGAAAATTAAGTGCAAAAATACGAACTCCATTTTGAATTAACTATTACTTTGTTAGTTATTCATTATTTTTTTTATTCATTATACATAATTTTACAATATAAAAATAATTTATTTTAGTTTTTCTATTGTACAAATATTAATATATATACGTACCCGTGTTGTACATGAGTATCGTACTAGTTGATATTTATTCCTCTTGAAAATTAGATAGATATTTGAATAAATATTTTTTGAAAAAATTTCAAATTTATAATTTAATTTTAGAGAATTTGTTGATAAATTTGAACGACAAAAATATAGATTTATAAATTTAGTATAATACAGATTTATATGAAATAAATATTAGTAAAATATATATTTTTTTTATTTGGATAGTATATACAAAAATAAATTTATATTAATGAATAAAAATTAGTATTATGAGAGATAAATAATAAAAGATGATAAAAAGAAAATAATAAACAAATATATAGAAAGAGAGAGAGAAACTAATAAAAAAGTAACAAAGATTGTAATGGAAAGAGAGAGAAATAATAAAATAATATGTAAAGTTAGTTTGGTAGTGGGGTGATGTCATAACTTAATTTTATTTAGATTTATTTTAAGAAGAGGGAGTTAAAAGGAAGAGTTATAGAGGGGTAGGGAGTGAAAAGGGATTTATTTAGAGGAGGGACTGAAAAGGAAGATAGAAAAGGGAGTAGGGATTTAATAAGAAGTGTCCCTTGTTTTTTTTGGTACAATTATTCACTATTTCTTTTATTTTGTCTTCGCTATTGACGAACGAGGGAAAATCGGAGATCTGAAGGTCTGGCCAAGGAAATGGAAATTACGTTGCCACGTGGGCATAGAATACTAATATAATAATCGAGTTTATTGCATTTCCCCTCTTTATTCAGTTACTTTCAAACTACTTTATTCGTTCTCTTTATTCACCTCCGTCTCATCTTACCTTCCCTTTCTCTGTAAGCAAACTCACCAGCTTTTTACACAAACACCTTGTGTGCGTGTAATCATCTGCATATCGTTTTGTACTGCGTTGGATTCTGTTCCTTTTTCCATTATTTTGATTATTTCAGGATTCTGAATTTCTTATTCTCGTTATTTTCAGTTACTCGAATTTTGGACAAAAGATGGTGGTTTTCAAGGTTGCCCATGTGGAGACAACACCATTCGATGGACAGAAACCTGGGACTTCTGGTCTTAGGAAGAAGGTTTTTTTTTTCCCAATCTCTTGAGTTTATAATTATTTTTCCAATTTTATTTCGCCTTTGTTGCTATTGTGATGGGGATGGCCTCGATGTAATGCCATCAGTGAGTGATCTGTTTCTTCTTTAAATTTTGATTTCTTTCTGTATGAAAGAAGGTTTTGTTTGAAGATATTTGTGAGATCTATATTTTTGAAAAACAAATATTTCTCGTATATTTTAATGTAGTTGGCAGATCTGACCAACCTAATATAATCGTCACCATGTTTCGATGTGCTTAATTCAATCATGTATTTTTTAGTTTCATTATCGGTCTGCAGATTAGGCGCTTTCTTGCCACCTGTTGTGCTCATATTTGTTAGTGTTATTAATCAATTGAGATTGTATGATTTTATGACTTTATGACCCTGGACTTCATTTCATCCTCAATGTGAAGTAACCATAAAGTGATGTTGTCAGATGGAAATTTTAGTTTTGATCTAACCATTGTTTAGGAGTCGGAGAAAATTAGGACACTGCGGAATATATCCTATCAAACTTGTGGCTTAAAATGGTGAACATGTTTTATATGAATACCTCGAACAATCTGAAGTCTCCTATTGTAGAAAGAACAAATTCCCTGTATTTCTATCGAGGCATCTTGTAATTAATTGTTGATGGATAAATTGATAATAACAGCTTTGTGACTTTAGTCTTAGCATGACATTTCTAAATCACTCTAGAAGGCTGTTGAATATAGTTACTTTAAGTCACTTCTTTGATTTTGTGCTGTAACTGCTGAAAGCTGAAGAAAATTATGAACTATTGGTTCAGGTTAAGGTATTCAAGCAACCACATTACCTGCAAAACTTTGTTCAGTCTACATTTAATGCACTTGGAGCTGATAATGTCAGAGGTATATGTCTCACTTTGTCTAACATCTAGTACCTCTTCTTTTCTTTTATCAAGAAATTGAAAAAATCTGCACCGAGAGGTACAGTCTCTGGAAATCAGTGTTTATGTCAAGTTATTAACACTGTCCTAAATGATATTAACAAGTTTCTCGGAACAGGCCCTGCATGTTTTCTTTGTTTTCATATGGTTGCAAAGGGTAACTACTAGCTACCATATATGCTACAGTCAGAACAATGTTGGATATATATTTTCTGAAAAACTTGTATTCAACTTTTGTTTCTAGCCTATGATTGCTCCAGAGACGTTGCATAATGCGTAGTTTCAGTAATTTGCAACATGACCTTGCCCATTATTGTCATTTCAGATTTTAAGTTGACTGAAGTAGTTTTAGATGCTTCTTGCTGTCCGACTATATTGGTGAAATTGAGTAGTACATCCAAATTAGGAAAATATTTTTAAATGATAGGAGAGGCGACTGTTATTTGTTTATTTTTATTATGCTTAATTTTGCACATGATAATCATTCCCCATTGATTATTTGTGCTTTTTGGCCGAATAAATTTTCAGGTGCTACACTTGTGGTTTCTGGTGATGGCCGTTACTACTCAAAAGATGCCATTCAGGTATGACAAGTTGTGTTTGATGAAGCGATTATGGCTTTCTGATCTCATTCATGAGAATAAGTCAACATTTATTTTATTTCTTTTGCCATGCATCCAAATATGCATAGATGTCTATGTCGACAACTAATGATATCTATCCATTTGATCTAGTTGAATTAGTGTCTATCTTCTTGAATGCTTCATAGTTATTAGATTTCATGTCGATAAATGTTTGTTATGGATTTTGATGCATTAATTTTCACCCTTCTGAATTATTTTTAACAAAACTGAAGGGGGGATTATTGAAAGCTCTTAACCCACACAATGTCTTTGTAGATACCGAAGAAAAGATATTTTTTTTGCTTTAACGGGATCGCAAAAACGGAGACAAGCTGTGAATTGAATCCATTTTGTAAATTTCTATTTTCAAGAAACCATGGTGTAATCTTGATAGCTTAGGAAAACTTATAAAAGAGAGTCATACAAAGTCAACAAGAAAACAGGCAGGCACTTCACAAGCCTGCTCTTTTTTATACTTTTTCTTCTTTTTCTGTTTCCCCTCTTGTTATGCCTTAATGGTAAAGGAGCACAGCCATAGTTTCTATAGAATACTTCCTGGATTTTTTTGTGTATGATTTATATGGATATTCAAAAAAGTGAAGATTATGCTCTTACTTCACAGTTTGGATAATCGAGACATATCCTTTTGAATCTTGGCCAGTATACTTGATATGGAGGTTGATTTATGTAGTGGTTTATCATTCTTCCTTTTAACTGCAGATCATTATTAAAATGGCTGCTGCAAATGGAGTGAGGCGTATCTGGGTTGGTCAGAATGGTTTGCTGTCTACTCCTGCTGTATCAGCTGTTATACGAGAAAGAACTGGAGCAGATGTAAGACAACAACTTGAATGGTGTTTTTTCAGTTTTTTGCCCCATTTTCTCAGTCAAACAAAAATCGGAATCGTGATTTTGTCTGAGATGAATGCTTGTCAAATTGTGAAACCTTCATAGGGATCCAAGGCTAATGGCGCATTTATACTCACAGCGAGCCACAACCCGGGGGGTCCGCATGAGGTGTGCACCTGAATTACTTATTTTTTTTCATTTCTCAATGTCTTGTTGAGCTGCTGATGCATAAAGCATTTCCTTTCTTCTCTCTCTCTCTCTTCTTGTTAAAAAAAAAAATATATGAAGGATTTCTCTCTAGACACTTATAATGGAGTTATTAAAATGGAACCTAATGCGTGGCAATTATTTATGTTAGTGGATTTTCTGTCGATATAAAATATTTCACCTGGATTTTCCACTTTGTTTTGATATTAAGATATGAAAATTTCTGCTCTTGATTTGCCCTGTCAGATCCAATATTGGTTTTGTTTCAATTTACTCCTGTTGTGAGGAGGCACCTCTTCTCCTTACGGGGCTATTTTTCAGATTCCTTGAGAGAGAGTTGTCTCGTCATTGATTGCATGATTCGAATATAAATTTGTGAATGCTGGTTTTCCTCCATTGTTAAAATCGTGTCCAGTGTTGTAATAATAAACAAGGAAAAGTGTAATGGGTCTCTTTAGGTAACCTAAACATAGGCGATAGACTGATAAATTAACAGGGAATGCTACCCTTTAACATGAGATATGAAAATGAACTTGATGAAGGATGGCAGTTTAATCCAAAAATAAAACAGTTTTGGTTTTTTAGTGGAAAATAGTTGTAGGTCAGAATTGGCTGTAGCTCCATTAATGGCATTTGGTTCCTTGCTTTCGTTTTGTTTGACAGGATTTTGGAATCAAATACAACATGGAAAATGGTGGACCTGCACCAGAAGGAATTACCGACAAGATCTATTATAACACAACAACAATTAAGGAATACCTTATTGCTGAAGGCCTGGAAGATGTATGAACTGTTCACGAGACACACATACACACCGCTCGCATGTGCGCTTATCCTTTATTTCATGTGGTGTAATTAATCTTACATTTGAACTCATGGAATTTTATCGGAAATTACAGGTGGATATCTCCACAATTGGCGTAACTAGCTTTGCAGGACCTGAGGGGCAGTTTGATGTGGATGTCTTCGATTCTGCAAGTGACTATGTGAAATTGATGAGGTATGTTCTTTTGTAGGATTGAAATAATATTCTTGATATTCATTGAAGTAGAATAATATGCCCAGTGCACGAGTATCCATAATATCTGTCATGCAGTATTTGGTACTGAAAAAGCACTTCATTGAAATTTGAATCTTCACTATCCGAAAGTCAAACCCTGTCCATTAATGGCAATTATCTCCATTCTTATGATAGATTAAACATATTTTTCGTCCATATCTCGTGTCAAGTTTCCCTTTCTTTGCAGGTCAATCTTTGATTTTCAATCTATCCAGAACCTACTATCATCACCAAAGTTCACCTTCTGGTATGCCATCGAATTCTTAACGTTATTTCATATCTGGAATATCTTTAGCATTATTTTGGTCGATACTTAGATACTCATTGCATTATGACCTTATAGTTATGATGCACTTCATGGAGTTGCTGGGGCTTATGCTAAACGTATATTTGTGGAGGAGCTAGGTGCCAAAGAAAGCTCGTTGCTGAATTGTGTTCCCAAGGTTTAACTTTCAAACAAATCTTTCTTTAATCAAAGACGATAATATCATCATGGTTTTGAATTTTCAGAAAAATTATAGTTAAGGTATTTATCTGTCTACATATGTCCTGGCAGGAAGATTTTGGTGGAGGGCATCCTGATCCCAACCTGACCTATGCAAAGGAGTTAGTTGCCCGTATGGGATTGGGTAAGACAGACTCAGGAGAGGAGCCACCAGAATTTGGTGCTGCTGCTGATGGAGATGCCGACCGCAATATGATTCTTGGAAAAAGGTTTTGTTTTTGTTTTTGTTTTTTTTTTTTGTGTTTTTGTTTTTTGAAGGAAACTTTAATTGTAATATAATATTTACATAGTGTATCAATTATCTTTACAGGTTTTTTGTCACTCCATCTGATTCTGTTGCTATTATAGCTGCAAATGCTGTCCAAGCGATACCTTACTTTGCTGGTGGTTTGAAAGGAGTTGCAAGGTTTGTTCATCTTTTGTTTAGTTCTATCAAAGTTTCTCTCTCTCTCTCTCTCTCTCTCTCTGTCCTCTCATTTTCTTCTTTTAAATTATGAAATATTTCTGATTTTTCTTTTTCAGGAGTATGCCCACATCAGCTGCTCTTGATGTTGTTGCTAAGAACCTTAATCTGAAATTCTTTGAGGTAGACCAAATATATTTTCTTCATGTATAGCCTCGGTGTTGAGCTAGTTTTATAGACGTTTAACTTGTTATCTTAATTGTGAAGGTGCCCACAGGATGGAAATTCTTTGGCAACCTGATGGATGCTGGAATGTGCTCGGTTTGTGGTGAAGAAAGTTTTGGAACTGGTAAGACAGTGTATTCTTGTTGATGAGTCAGGAACATTTATAGAAAGTTTTGTGTTTCGCCTTTTATTAATTATTTTATGTATTATATATTAACAGGCTCAGACCACATACGCGAGAAAGATGGAATTTGGGCTGTGTTGGCTTGGCTGTCCATTCTTGCCTATAAGAACAAAGATAGTCTTGGAGGAGACAAACTAGTCAGTGTTGAGGACATTGTTCGCCAGCATTGGTCCACTTATGGACGCCACTATTACACTCGATATGATTNGTGCAAAGGAACTGATGGCCTATTTGGTCAAGCTGCAGGCTTCCCTTGCTGAAGTTAACAAGTAACTAACATTAATTATTATTATTATTATTTTTTAATTTCATTTCCTCGTCTGAGTATCTGCTGGCGTAATGCACCTTTGTCCTTCCCAATTCTTCCGTGCAAATTTGGAAGAAGACACGCAAATTACTCACCCTTGTTCAATAGTGTTTACGCTACAATATTTAGTTGATTATGTGGAAATTTTAGTTTCAGTTATCTTTCTTTTTATGTTAAAATATTTACACGTCTGTTTTACTGCAGCATCATAAAAGGGATCCGACCAGAAGTCTCGAAGGTTGTTCATGCTGATGAATTTGAGTACAAAGACCCTGTTGATGGCTCTGTTTCAAAGCATCAGGGCATCAGATATCTGTTTGAAGATGGCTCTCGTCTGGTAAATCACTTTTGCAAACAACTGTTAGTTGGCCAACTCTGAGTTCAATTGAAACATTCTGGTAAAATGGCAATATGCTGGAATCATATCAGGAAATGAGATCAGACAAGTATCTGTATAATCACAAAAAATTACAAAATTGCTGAAGTTGAAAATATTATAAAACTATTCATAAGATTATTGATGGATGTGTGAATGATTATAATTCAACAGGTTTTCCGACTTTCTGGAACTGGTTCAGAGGGTGCTACTATTCGTCTTTACATAGAACAATACGAGCAAGATCCATCAAAGATCGGAAGAGATTCTCAGGAGGCACTTGCTCCATTGGTGAGTTATATATCGATATTTTTATTATTTCACTCTCACACTTTTCGGATTACGTATGTTGGATTTTGATTTGCTTGTGTGTAGGTTGAGGTTGCTCTTGCGCTGTCCAAGATGCAACAGTACACCGGCCGAACTGCACCAACCGTCATTACATAAATGTTGGAATTCGTGCTTTACAAGTATGTTGTTGGACGAAATATTTGTGACATATTTTTGGCTGAGAAAAATAAATGGTACTGCTGATATATATTTAATCAGCTGCTATGACATATTGTACTCCGGCATGAAACCTTGTTTTGGAAGACCTTTTCTGTACTTTTCATATTTTGCTTTATAGAAGGGCTCATGAATGTGATCATGGATACATCTATCATTTGAGCCGTTATGGTTGGGAGAATTTTCACCTTTACCGTGTGATTTAGTAATAATTGTAATTTTGGGATGGGGTAAACTTTATTTGCATCTTTTCAAATTTCATGCCAATTAATTGCAACGATGTACCAAATTATGGGATTTTCAGCTATCAAATTAAATGTACGTGCTTCCCCTTAAATTGCGCAGGTTATGAGAATTTTCAATTAAAAAAAAAATGGTTATGTAAGGTAAAGTTATATATCTTACAAAATACGATGATGTTTCAATACAAAATAGAAAAAGAAGGAATTTGAATTTTAAACTACACCATCTTCTAAATGTATAGGTGTCACGGGAACATGTAGCTTTTGCCACATCACCTTCCCATGGACTGTATATTGCATTTCATAAAAATTGCAACTATAAGGAACTATATGTTGCGTTTATAGTCAGTAAAGTGTTTTACCTCTCATTTGTTTTGAATGGACAATATATTTTGCATTTATAGTCAGTATATATTCAGTATATACTGGGTTTTTTTATTTACATGACATTTTTGTCTAACCACAATTGTGATGTTTGAATTTTGGTTCAATTAACTTGGTGCCTTTTTTTAATACATAATATTTTAATCAAACCACAATTGTGAGTTTGAATTTAAGTCCAGTATATTGTGTTTATAGTCAATATATATTCCGTACATGTTGCGTTTTTTATTTACATAGCATGGTTTTCTAACCACAATTGTGATATTTGAATTTTTATTCAGTATATAACACATCATAAACGAATCATACTCAATATTCTAGTAAACTATTTTAGTATATGTAGAGTAGAATTAGGATCATATGAGAATGGTAGATAGTGAAAGAAATGAGAATAAATATGTACCATTGGATCAAATATATTAATGGTCATGATCAAATTAAATATAATTGTAATAGTAAAAAATGTAATGACAATTCCGTAAATAAGTGTATATTTCGTGGCCAAATGTATAATGTTGACCACTCATTAAGGGCATTTATGTCATCTTACCTAATTTCCACCCACCACCTACCTTCTACCTTGTGGGTCCCACCATAACTCTCGCTCTTTCACACACAAATACACACATACACGGTTTTCACACACACACACACATACACATTTTTTCACACACAAACACACACACACACACACACGTTTTTTCACACACAAACACACACATGGCCGACATCTGCCTGTCGCCTTCGTAAATAGCTCACCGAGACGACGACATGCCCCATTTCGGTCGCCAGATGTCATTGTGCTCGCCGCTGTCGATGTGCTCCTCGGTGAGATCGTCCATCCAGGTTGATTCAATTGCTGATGAAATCCAAGTAGTTGAGGACGGCGACATCAGAACATTGGAAGCAACAGAAAGCAGTAAGTGAGTGGAGGTCCGGTGGCCGCAGAGGAGGTTGAAGGCACGACAGAGGATGAAGACGTTGATGGAGTGACGGAGGTGGTTGACCACCATGGTGGGCGCGATGACAGCAGCCGGTGTTGCGTCTAACCTCTGGTCACGGTGGTCGGCGGCGGCTGAGACGACTCAACGGCGGAGATGACTGGCGTTTGCAGATTTTTAATGGAGGGTTCCATTTTGAAAATTTGATAAGTTCTAGGGACTTGATTGCATTTTAAAAACTTTTGATATATTACCATTTAGTTAATGGGTTAAATTTAAAATTAATTAAACTATAATTAATATTTTAATATTATTTTATTTAATATTTGGAAATATATAATATGTTACATAAAATACAAAAAAATTAATAATAACATTTTTAACAAAATTGGACGTCCGGTTTATTATTTCGGTTATATAAATAAAAAAAATTGGCATCGAAACGAAATAACCGAGTTTTTAACAGTAAAGAAAGACAATCGAACCAAAATTTAAAATTTTGAACTGAAAAAATTAGTTCGATAGGTTTCCTTTGTTACACATAAAAAATAATAATAATAAAAAAAAAATAACCGTGATTTCGTGCAATCTAATAGTCCTTAATGTGCATTTCGTGCAACCCTAATGTACACCCGCTATACATAGAAAAAGAAAAAGAAAATGTAGTAATAATAATAATAATAATAATAATAATAATAATAATAAATTTTCAAATTGTTCGATCAGTTCGTATATTTCGATTATTTGAAAAAATAAAGACGACATCGACCTGAAATAACTGTAATTTAAATATAAAAAAACCGATAATGCGCACTCGCCATAATTAAAAATATATAACAATAATAATACTTTTTTCATATACTTCGGTTGTTTCAGTTATTTCGAGTAATTTAAAAAATAAAGTCGATCGAACTAAAATAAACCTGATTTTAAAAATAAATAAAATTAATCGAATTGAAATATAAACATCCAAATCAAAAATTTAATTCGTTCGGGGATTTTTGGAAGTATCAAGTCTGAAGGCTATTGTGCACTCATACACACACATGATCACACCCATCAATCACAGGGAGGTTTTTGGATGTATCAGGTCTGAAGGCTATATTTTGGAATTTTATGAATAAGGCAGGCATACAAGTGAATACAGGAAAGACATCTGGACACTAGATGGGGCATATATTGGGTGTGCATGTGAAATTCGAATGGACAGTTTGTAGCGACGGAGAGAGAGATTATAAAATATTTTCTGTTCATATAAATATGAAAATTATTGAATCACGGGTCTGCATTTGCACATTCTAAACCCAATCATGTAGAGATATATATTGTAACATGTCTTTGTGTGGCAGAGGTTATAATATATCTTAATTTTCATACGTAATGTGCTGATATTACACCAATTATGTGCTAATCCCTTTTATTAATAGCTAGATCCGAGTAATAGGAAAAGAATGCATTCCTAACTACAATGTTGCTATAAAACCAACTGGTTGGTTCCCTTATAGAACCAACACTCAATGATTTTGCTTCATGTGGGGCTGTCTCACATGGGCTCCATGTGGGACAGCCCCACATGGAGCTGTCTAATTGGGTATTGGTTCTATAAGAGAACCAGTCAGTTGGTTCCATAAGGGAACCAACCAGTTGATTTTATAGCAACATTGTTCCTAACTAATCGTTCTACACGATCCCCTGATTGATTTGCTTAAATTAAAAAATTATGAAAACCCATATGATGGGGTTGCATAGGTTAGAACATGGATGTAAGACGTTTCTTTAAATTGACAATTATGTAGCACTCTTGATTTTGTACATCGAATATCGCCTAAGAATTTACATGCTTAATTATGTAAAATCAAAATTCGATTTCGTCGCATATAATATTTTTTTACTTGCTTCAAATTCGATGGTTTTTTACTCGACATCAGAACGCTTTAATCAGATTTTATTCTCATAGAAAGCTCTAATAATATAATACGAAAAATGCCTTAAAACCGGATTAAACCGCTATCAATACAAATGATCATTCACCTTCCAGCTCGGGTGATCTGTAAATACTAAATACGGCAGGGAGGGGTCCTAGCGGGAAAAAACATCTGATGCCAAGGGCGAATTTACACTATGGCTGGCCAGACTGGATTTTTGCTTCTAAACATATGTAGTTATAATAATAAATATTTAGGAAGAAAAGACAAAGTTGGAGAATTTGCGAGAAATAATAAAAACAATTTTAAGTTTTTTTTAATAGCCTATACAAAACGAAGTTGAACATTATCTCTATGTTCCCTTCTAGAATTAAATTTATTGAAATAATAATCGAGGATGAGACTATTGTTGATCAAAGCGGACAATATAATTTGTTGCTTGTGCACATACAATCCTTTAATTTCATCTTTTGTCTTCTTCTAATGCGACAAATTTTAAATGTAAGGAATGAGTTACCACCAGAATTATAAATGAATGATCAAGATATTGTTAATGCTATGAATTTGGTCAGGGCAACTAAGGCCGTGCTTGTTTATAAAAAAATAGAATTTTTTTTTCGTTAACTAGAGTTTATTTGAAAAAAATTAATATGATTAGTTTTTATTGGGAATTTAAGAATGTATTAAAATAATATATAAAATAAAATGATTAAGATTGAGTTGATGTAAAAGTAAGAGGTAAATAATTGAAAATGATAGGTAGTTAAAATTATATGAGTGGATGAATAGTGAATTGAATTTGATGTAATGTGTAAGGATTTTGAATGATATTATTTAATTATATTGATAATATTGAGGATAATGGGGTTGAGCTAAAGTTGAGTTACATTTTGAATTGAGATAGATTTTTTTCTAGTTATTTTTTCTAAAAAATTGATAAACAAGCACGGCCTAAACAACTCCAAAAAATGAGAGAAGAAAAATGTGAATGGAAAAATTTCTATTAGAAGGTAAATTTGTATGTAATAAGCACGACATAAAAAATTTCGAGCACCTTTTTATATTATATTGTCCTGACTGATAAAAATTTCTGTGTCCGCCAATGTCTGACGCTCAAGTCAGTTCTCGCTCGTAAATATGCTTAAAGGTTGTATGTAAAAGTGTTATATGTGTTATGTAAAATTAAAACCTAGTAACCCCTTTTATATATATACTCGAGTTATATTCTTACCCAGGTAGAGACCTTGTTAGGAAAGAAATCTAACCATATCATATTTTCTAGCATAATACGTCTCTAAGGTCTTAGACTCCCTAGCAAGATACACTTACCATCCTTAATAGGATTCTACTCCCTCTCACTGTATGGTTCTCAGGTCTTTAGGTCATCCTGACGACCTCGTGACCCATCCACCGCAGGCGCTCACCAGGTCGAAACCTCGACCTTCACTCGCATGACCTCCAGGTTCTAACACTTCTTTATTTTTTCAAGCTCCGAGAGGAGATCGACCCCTCAATCCTTTAATTAAGTCAACTCGTGCCCTAAGTTGCCGAAGCGAGCTCCCTGACGACGTCAAATACTGATACCAAGTTGAAACTCTTTTGAACCGGCAGCACCCGAGCTAACCACTAAGGCTGGCTCACCGATCCATCATGTGGGAAATATCATCTAGTCCCCCCATTCTTAAATGAGTTGTTAGGACTTTTGCAAGAATGATTTGTTGTCATGGCACTAACTTGTCTTTCTATCCATTAATGCCATTCATTAGGCGACTTGGGAATCGCTCCCGTCAGAAACCCTTCAAGACCCTAAAGCCCCTGTTACTCTGGATCGTTGATTTCTACTAG